ATACACGAACCCATGCAAACGTGCGGTCAGAGTCCCAATTTAGCAGACTTCGTACATTGAAAGCTGCTAAACAAAATCTATGGCAGAGTCTTAAGAAAGTTAGAAAGAGGCTTCGATGGCTTTGATCATTGGTAATGGCTGCAAAGTCAGAGGTTGATAAGGCGTAAAAGGCTTAATACTTCTATCAGGAAGTTAGGGCAAAAACGATGAAGTGTTTAGACGATGTAATGTTTGATTGGGTCCTTTGTACTAATTGGAGCGAGCGTCATTGACATTTCCCATTTCCCGACAGCGTGGAAGCAAGTTCTTCTTCAGTTAGCTTAAAAATAAAAGATGTGTGACCGCAAAGCCTAAACAACACCCGCTCCAGGCCAGCTACACAGGGCCACTTTGCAATTTTGAGATTTGGGTTTTTGCTTTAGAATGAGACTATCGATCCCTGTCGCAGGCATCGGCATTCCGCGCATGTACCAGTATCTTATTTTTAGGTTCAACTTTTTCTAATACCCCATCCCAAAGGGAAGGCAGCCATCCATCCAACCAGATCAACCTACAAACACGCATAGCTATGTAACGGTCCCAGTTGCAACACCTCACGTCAGTTCACCAAGTAGAAAGGTAATGAGGTGAAAGATGAAGATAAGTGAATGCAGTCAAAAGAAATACAAAGTACGAGAAGAAAGGAAAGAGGAGTGACAAAATGGTGATAATCGGTATAGCGTAGTTAAGATGAAGATAATGTGTGCATACATCTGCGCCACTGACATCGGTTCTGAGCCATATCACCTAGGGTCTCCAACCACTGGTTCCTCTTGTCCCGTGGACCCCAACCACCTAGTCTGCATCGTCCTACATGGCTCAAACCAACAGTCAGAGACTTCATACATTGGTGCCATGTTTTAGTCTGGCCACCTCGGGCCTTTTTCCAGCCTGGACCCACCTCAGCCAACATTGTGTGACGAGGCAATCGGTGACTAGGCATACGTAGTACGTGTCCCAACCATCTCAGTCGATGAAGGTTCACAACCTCGTCGACTGACTTACCTCTTCTCCCTAAAACTCTACACCTGACTTCTGCATTACTCACATGGTGACACCACGGAATACGTCCTATACTACGAAGGCAACGGTGGTCAAACACCTGAAGCTTTTTATATCTTCCACTTTCAATGGCCATGTTTCACAGCCATACAGTAGAACAGAGGGGACTGCTGTGCAGTACACGCGACCCTTAATAGACAAACGGATATCACGGCGGCGCCATAGGTGGCGCAAATTGGCAAAAGCCAATCGAGCCTTTTGTATCCGTGCAGAAATCTCATCGGCAACTAACCCACCAGGGTTGATCCTACTTCCCAGGTAAGTGAAGTGGTCAACACACTCAACCACTTCACTCTCTATTGTTAGCCGCGGTCACCGCTGAAGACCAGTCCTGGAGCAAAAATTTGCATTTGGGTGGTGAAAATCGCATCCCAAACATTCTCAAATTGCCACTCAAAGTGTTCAGAAGACTCTGCATCTTGTCAGCGTCTTCACCTAACAGGACTATGTCATCTGCATATTCTAGATCTAAAGAAAATTCACCTGTGATTGGGTCAACGTCTGTGTAATTAGGTGACGAGAAGGAAACCTCCATAAGAATATCTATGATAAAATTGAATAAGAATGGAGATAGTGGGCATCCTTGACGGACACCACTTGATGAGTATAGCTCCCTGGACAACTCGCCATAGGCTCTAACATGCCCACAAGTGTTCGAGTAGAGAGCTTTCAATAAGGTGATGTACTTACTAGGCGCGCCTTTCAGTGACAGACATTGTCATAAGACTTCTCGATCAACGGAGTCGAATGCCGCCTTCAGGTCGAGAAATACAGCTATTGTCGGGCGTCGGTAAGCATGCCTATGTTCCAGGACCTGGCGCAGTGTGAATATTTGGTCGATACATCCACGGCCAGGTCTAAAGCCTGCTTGGTGTTCTCGGGCTTGCTGTTCCCGAGCTCCACTCAGGCGTCGGAGAATTATAGAACCTAGGATTTTAGATACTATGTTCGTCAGGCTGATTCCTCTGTGGTTATCACAAGAGGACTTCTCGCCTTTCTTGAAGACTGGGATAATGAGTGACTTGGACCAGTCGGAGGGGATCGTATTTGATTCCCATATACTAGCTAACACTTCCGTTAACCTGACTAAGAGCACTCTACCACCATTCTTGTATACCTCAGGAGTTAGTCCGTCTGGTCGTGCTGCCCTTCCTCGTTCCAGGTTACCTACCGCTTTTCCAACTTCTCCTAGTGTTGGGGGGCTTATCTCTATGTCCCATTCAGGAAGGCAGCATGGGCGCGGCACTGCTTTTTATCCAAGGGAAACACCTTACCGCTATCATACCCCCATCAAATTAGCAGAAGTGTGATCTCTCTCTCAGGCCCCAATCACAGTGAAGTAGTTTACACGGTAACTGAATTTCGTCCCACCACTATCCAACAGGCCCTCGTGGCATAGTAGGACCTTGAGGGAGCAAGCGTTCTAGCCAGTGTAGCTCGTTGGGTCATTGTGGTATGCAACCCAACTACCAGTTTAAAGTAGCATCTATCGGCCCGGATGTTCCCAATCTCCGACTCAGCACTCCACGCCAGCGAAGAGAAAATAGGCCATAAGATCCATGCGTCAGTTACATCCGAACTACCTGGACAACAGTTGCTAATTTCACGCCATGATTATGCTTGGATATCACAATGACCCAACAAGCTACGCTGATCAAAACACTTTTTTCCTTGAAGTTCTTCCATACCAGAAAGATTTGTAAGATGGTCGTCAGACAAAAAGCAGTTATCATTGTAGTGTGAATTGCTGCGTTGTGATAGTAGTTCAGGAGCGAAGTTATAATGCTGGTTGGATAGGGGTGCAACAATAGTCACGTACTTACTGCAGATGACCAGTAGTACCGGGCTGATACTATCTTCCCAATGAGAAGAAAGAAGTAGAAAATTTCGAATATAACGATGGAACGTTCCCCTCTACCCGGCAACATAACAGTGCTGGTAGTGTTTAGTTTATAGTTAAATTAAAAATAACAAACTATGATCTCAAACTTCTAAAAGGCTGTATGTGACTAGCCTTAAGCATATGTCCGTTGGGTTCTGAGGTCATGCAGCATGTATTTAATAACTAACCATATAAACACCATGCAGAAGTATATAAATATGATTTGCTGAATCTACTTTTTCAAACGACATTCATATAAATAGTTAAATAAATCAATATGTAATTTGCAGAAATTACGTCCGCAAACTCTACATCAACACCAGTTTGGACAGACAATTCACAAAATAAATGTGGCTTACGCCCTGAAATTGATTTCGAATATCTACTGTAGTCATGAATAACAAACTTCGAAAGTGTGATTACAAGTTAGCTATTCCCCCAAATGAACAAAATGAACTAAGATTACACTGATACCAGTTGAATCTTGAAGAACGATTTCACAGGAATCAACTATTTACAGTATTTTGAGATCTTCGAGTGACTACCAAAAGAATATAGTGATCCATCAAGCTGAAGGTGGCTGAATGATCGTTCTGGCAGACTTAGGATTACTGATAGGATTTCGATGATGATAGGTAGATTAACCCAGAATTTTCACGACCGTTTCGGCTGAACTGAAGGGAACCATTTCACATGTTACACTCTCGCACTATTGGAGAATCCCGAAGGGTTTTCCATTAAGGATAATATTACAGATAAAACATTCGCACTAGAGTACTCTTTGTAATTAAGGCTATAAACCTATAACACAATGACAACCTTTACTTTAACTTCCTGAATCCCAACCACTTAATTCCAATTACGTTTGTAACCAATAGGTCATAAAGCAGCAAAAAAACAACAAAGAGGACCTACTTACTAACTGCTTGCCGTTTTATTACTTAATTTGCGAGTTTCGTACTTTTAAAATAAAGGAATATCCGATGTCACGAACCTGTTTTTTAATTCTTGATCCCCAAATCCTAGATCATTCTACAGAGGTTCACACAAATAATTTGGGGTCGATAGAGGCCATTTAAAGGGCTGTTTTCATCAATATTAGTCCAGGTGGTTCAGTTCAATACATACATGTGAATGATTATCTTCATCGTACGTATTTTCACTTTAGGCAAAGAAACAGCCGAAAGTAGAGATAATTTCCTAAATATCATCAACAAAATCATATTTACTGTAAATTTCGTTTCATTTCAAACTAGAGAGAAAATACTGTTTTCTTATTGGTGTGCTCACGGTCATCAAGGTTAGCAATCTTCTATATTTCTGCCCAAACCACAAAGAAAGGTATTAATATTATTTCATTACATAAAGTGTTTAACTTACCAACTTGTTCGATTTTACGACAACTGACTGGTTTAGATGCATCAAATCCAGGATACTCGGAACAATTTGTTATGAACGTAAACTGATCCCATGGTTCACATAACTGACCATCACGATAAGAATTGCAGACAACACATTGGACACCGAGTACTGTCAAAAGATGAATATATCTTCTCAAAAAAACGAAATATTTTGAAGAGATTTAATCAATACCGACCAAAAGGACAACTAGTCTATAAACCAAACAAAGATATTATTCTAGCGGTCTAGAGACAAATGAAATGTTGTAAACTAGATATTTAAAGGTCCGTAAATATGGTGTGGTTACTCAACTCAGAGCCAATGCTCTGCAAAGACATTTTCAAGAGGGTTACAAAATACTAAAGAGCTAGCTGTTAGCTCTCAGTCTTTCATAAAACCCATCTGAAGCTTGCTTTACATGTTAAAAAACTTAATTAATTTACTTAGTATATTCAAGCATGTTGACAGAATAGTTGTACCTCAGCAAATAAAAATAAAAGTTAGTAATGCGCATATCTAATACTAGGTTACCTCTCTCTCTCAACATTTTAGAAAATATGCATGAAGCTATTAACATGGTGTTCAATGCTTCCCCACTTTATCCAAAGTCAATGAAGTTCACGGTGTTTACTTTTCCACTAAAACTGACAAATGGAAGCTAACAACACTTATTCTATGGTATCTAAAGGGGAAGTCAATATAAGCATGTTGTATATATCCACAGGTTTCGTTAGCAAAGACTCTAGCAACTCAGGCCATGGATGTGTGCTGTGTTTGTGAGACACGCATACAGGACCCAAGTGTGGTTTTTCACCTGACCTCTCCTGACCAATCTGGTGAATCCACAAAATTCACCCTTCGAGTTTCTGCAGATTCGATAGCTAGCTCTCCTAGTCTTGCAGGTGTAGGCATAGCACTCAGCACTAGGGCAGAAAACTCACTACTAGACTGGACCCCAGTTGATAGTCGCCTCTGCGCTATGAGGCTGAATAGCACGGTAAGAACTAAAAGGAATAGTGAGACTCGCCGTTGTCTCTTTGAAATCTCTGCTTACGCACCCACTGACTGCAGCTCGGATGAAGTGAAGGACGAGTTCTACCGTAAACTGTCTAACCTCCTCTCGAAAGCCAAACGTCCGGACGTGGTGGTTGTTGCAGGTGACTTCAACGCACAGGTGGGTAGACTGAGTGAGGCAGAAAGGCACTTAGGTGGCACTTTCGGATCCCAGCTAAACGTATAGATAACGGTAATCGCCTATTACAACTATGCTCAGATAACCGCCTATTTTAGCCAGCACCAATTTCAGACATAACCTCACCTGGCTAACTAGTCCACTAGTTACTAACCGGTCCTAAGCCCAGGTAAAGAAGGAAGGTTGGGCATAGGCTAGCAACCCTACCCCGGAAAACAAATCTAACCGCTAAACAAACTTCAAAGCACAAACGATATATAAAAATAATAACAAAATTATTCCTCGCTGGAATCGGAGAGGCGAAATGACGCCGGTCGGTGAAAAAAAACCTTCGGGAAGCCAATTGGCCGATGTGTCTTCTCTCGATGAAAGCGAAAGTAAACGTGGGGACATGGAATGTCCGCACGATGTTTGAACCCAGTAAGGCAGCCCAGATTGTAAACGAGATGAAGAGGTATCACATTCAAGTGCTTGGAATTTGCGAAAGCAGATGGAATGGGAGTGGACTCTCCAAACTGTCAACTGGAGAATCAATAATCTACTCCGATATTGTCACACAGACGACAACCACGAAAAAAGCACACTGAGTAATGGAGTGGCTATCGTGATGTCTTGAAGAGCATCGAAGGCTCTCATGCAGTGGGAACCAATCTCCTCCAGGATCATGACAGCAAGATTCAACTCAAAAGGAAGAAAGGTCACAATCATAAAATAAAAAGTTATGCACCTACAAATAATGCAGAGCAAGAGAAAAAGGAGGAATTCTACAGACAACTGCAATCAACACTGGACAAGACGTCAGTTGGAGATATCAAAATTCTAATGGGCGACATGAATACCAAACTGGGAGCAGAAAACACAGGAAGAGAACTAACCATGGGTCGAGAAGCGCTCGGTGAGATGAGCGAGAATGGAGAATTGTTTGATGAATTCTGTGCATTCAACGATTTGGTGATTGGAGGCACTGTGTTCAAACACAAGGATATCCACAAAGCGACATGGATTTCACCAGAAGGACACACTAAAAATCAAATCGACTTTATCTCAATCTCAAAAAAATGGAGACGCAGTCTACTTAACACAAGGTCAAGAAGAGGAGTAGATGTAGGTTCACACCACTATCTAGTGCAAGGAACCTTCCAAATCAAGTTAAAAGCCTTCAAGGAAGCTGGTGATAGACCTCAACCCAAGTACAACACTCGGAAACTGAAGGATGAAACTACAAAGGAGATCTTCAAGTCAGCCATCAAGACAAAATGGGAGACATCGAGCAACATCCCTGAAGAAACCTGTGTAGAAGAACACTGGAAGTCTTTGAAAGCTATGTGGAAAGAAACCTGCACATCAGTATTAGGAAGGAAGAAGAAAGAAGACAAGGAATGGATCTCGATGGATACGTGGAAGCTGATAGAGGAGAGGAGGATGGTGAAGCAGAAGATAAACCAGTGCAAGGATGCTCAACGACAAGAGGAACTGAGCACGATGTATAAAACACTGAACAAAGAAGTGAAGAAGAGTGTACGCAAAGACAAAAGACACTTCTACGAAACACTGGCAAGTGAAGCAGAACAGGCTGCAGGTAAGAGAGACCTGATAACATTGTATCAAATAACCAGATTGCTATCTAGGAAGAGATCAACGCAGACGAAACCAATAAAAGATGATGACGGAGATTTAATTACGAAACGAGAGAAACAAAGGAAACAATGGGCTGACCACTTCAAGAAGCTCTTGAATCGACCACCACCTGCACTTCGTCCAGAAATACTACCAGCAGCCGCTGAATTACAAGTGAACATAAATCCCCCAACGAAAATGGAAGTCCTGAACGCCATAAAGCTACTGAAATGCGGGAAAGCAGCAGGACCAGATGGGATACCGCCAGAAGCACTGAGAACAGATGCAGAGACAACAGCAGACATGCTCACACCACTATTGCAAAAGGTGTGGAAGGAAGGGAATGTACCTGCCAACTGATTGGAACAAGGGTTGCCTTGTCAAACTCCCAAACGAGGGAGACCTAAGTCTATGCAAGAACTGGTGTGGAATCACTCTCCTGTCCACCCCAAGCAAAATATTAAACCGCATCATCCTGGAGAGACTAAAGGATGCACTAGATTCAAAACTACGACCGGAACAGGCTGGATTCAGGAAGTACAAATCACGTGCGGACCAAATTGCTACGCTACGCATCATCATAGAACAGAGCATAGAATTGCAGTCAACTCTACACCTTAACTTTATCGACTTTGAAAAGGCCTTTGACAGCGTCGACCGAGCGGCCATTTGGAAACTGCTTCATTACTACGGAGTACCGCAAACCTTTATCCGCCTCATTCAACAACTATATGAAGATGCCACATGCCAAGTAATTCACAATGGGAAGCTAAGTGATGATTTTGAAGTGAAGACAGGAGTGAAACAAGGTTGCCTACTATCACCCATGATATTCCTGATTGTGGTCGACCGGATCATGCAGCAAACAGTGGGGAGCGAGAAGAGGGGGATACACTGGACTGAGGAAAAGAACCTAGAAGATCTTAAAGGAAGTAGCCTATTTCACCTGTCTAGGCAGCACCGTCTCAATTACAGGCAGCACACGCGATTACGTCAAAGTCAATCGGAAAAGCAAGACAGGTGTTCATTAGCCTGAAACCAGTGTGGAGATCTTCTGCACTCCACTCAGCATGTGGAACATGATGTAGATTTTCAACACCAACGTCAAGTCAGTGCTTCTGTATGGTTCAGAGACTTGGCGCGTCACGAAAGGGATTTCCAATAAACTACAGACATTCATCAACAACTGCCACCTACGCTCGCTACTGAAGATCAGATGGCCAGAATGATAAGAATAAGCAACAAGGAGCTCTGGAACGAACCAACCAGAACCTATCGCTCAACAATATTCAGAAGGAAGTGGAGATGGATTGGGCATACACTGAGAAAGCCGACTGGGGACATCACGCGTCAGGTCCTCGAGTGGAATCCCCATGGGAAGCGAAGAGTTGGCGTCCTAGCTGAGGGTGACATGGAGGAGATCATGCGAGGAGGAATGAGAGCTTCTAGGCTGCCGTGGAGCCAGGTTCAAAAGATTTCGGAGAACAGAGCGCATTGGAGACGTGCTACTGAAGCCCTATGTTCCATTAGGAACCCAAGGGACTAATAATAATATAACAATAATAATAATAAAATTTCAGACATAAAGAAAGGCACTGTCTGACCTGGCATCCACCGAGCTCAACTCAGCGATGGACACAGATAGACCACATTGCTATTAGTCATCACTGGAGAGGATCGGTGGAAGACTGCCGCTCCTTCTGGAGTACGTGTTTGGACAGCGATCATGCGTTGGTCCGAGCACGTATATGCCTGCGTCTCAATGGACGTAGAAAAAATTTGGCAACAAAACCACTACGAGTGCTGCTGGAAAACGGAAACACCAAAGCCGTGTTCAGTGAGAAGTTGGCTAGGCAGTTATCGGAACAAAATACTGTCACTCATCCAGAAGAAGCTTGGTGCCATCTTCAGTCTGCTGTAAAAGCAGCACTGAATACTGTAACCGACTCCAAATAATGGCTAAAAAGAGCCAGTGGATATCAGCAGCTTCTTCCAAACTAATGGATGCACGTGAATGCATCCCTGCAGGCTCTGAGTACAATGAAGAGCGAGCGCAACTTAAAAATAGACTGACGAAAAGTCTGCGCAACGATCGTGAACAGTGGTGGGCAGCGAAGACTAAAGAGATGGAAAAGGCAGCGGCGATCGGTAACAGTAGACAGTTATTTAGACTTATTAAGGAGACTGGGGGGAAATGGTCAACAACAGTTAGTGAGGCTATAGCGGAGAAGGACGGATCTGCGATTCACTCGCAGGGGAGACGACTGGAACGATGGGCAGAACACTTCGAGGAACAGTTTAACTGGCCTCCAGCCACGATTGCGCTGCCCGCTATCCAGTCGGATCCTGAATGGGACATAGAGATAAGCCCCCCAACACTAGGAGAAGTTGAGAAAGCGGTAGGTAACCTGAAACGAGGAAGGGCAGCAGGACCAGACGGACTACCTGCTGAGGTATACAAGAATGGTGGTAGAGTGCTCTTAGTCAGGTTAACGGAAGTGTTAGCCAGTATATGGGAATCAAATACGATCCCCTCCGACTGGTCTAAGTCACTCATTATCCCAGTCTTCAAGAAAGGCGAGAAGTCCTCTTGTGATAACCACAGAGGAATCAGCCTGACGAACATAGTATCCAAAATCCTAGGTTCTATAATTCTCCGACGCCTGAGTGGAGCTCGGGAACAGCAAGCCCGAGAAAACCAGGCAGGCTTTAGACCTGGCCGTGGATGTATCGACCAAATATTCACACTGCGCCAGGTCCTGGAACATAGGCATGCTTACAGACGCCCGACAATAGCTGTATTTCTCGACCTGAAGGCGGCATTTGACTCCGTTGATCGAGAAGTCTTATGGCAATGTCTGTCACTGAAAGGCGTGCCTAGTAAGTACATCACCTTATTGAAAGCTCTCTACTCGAACACTTGTGGGCATGTTAGAGCCTATGGCGAGTTGTCCAGGGAGCTATACTCATCAAGTGGTGTCCGTCAAGGATGCCCACTATCCCCATTCTTATTTAATTTTATCATAGATATTCTTATGGAGGTTTCCCTCTCGTCACCTAATTACACAGACGTTGACCCAATCACAGGTGAATTTTCTTTAGATCTAGAATATGCAGATGACATAGTCCTGTTAGGTGAAGACGCTGACAAGATGCAGAGTCTTCTGAACACTTTGAGTGGGAATTTGAGAATGTTTGGGATGCGATTTTCACCACCCAAATGCAAATTTTTGCTCCAGGACTGGTCTTCAGCGGTACCGCGGCTAACAATAGAGAGTGAAGTGGTTGAGTGTGTTGACCACTTCACTTACCTGGGAAGTAGGATCAACCCTGGTGGGTTAGTTGCCGATGAGATTTCTGCACGGATACAAAAGGCTCGATTGGCTTTTGCCAATTTGCGCCACCTATGGCGCCGCCGTGATATTCGTTTGTCTATTAAGGGTCGCGTGTACTGCACAGCAGTCCGCTCTGTTCTACTGTATGGCTGTGAAACATGGCCATTGAAAGTGGAAGATATAAAAAGCTTCAGGTGTTTGACCACCGTTGCCTTCGTAGTATAGGACGTATTCCGTGGTGTCACCATGTGAGTAATGCAGAAGTTAGGTGTAGAGTTTTAGGGAGAAGAGGTAAGTCAGTTGACGAGGTTGTGAACCTTCATCGACTGAGATGGTTGGGACACGTACTACGTATGCCTAGTCACCGATTGCCTCGTCACACAATGTTGGCTGAGGTGGGTCCAGGCTGGAAAAAGGCCCGAGGTGGCCAGACTAAAACATGGCACCAATGTATGAAGTCTCTGACTGTTGGTTTAAGCCATGTAGGACGATACAGACTAGGTGGTTGGGGTCCACGGGACAAGAGGAACCAGTGGTTGGAGACCCTAGGTGATATGGCTCAGGTCCGATGTCAGTGGCGCAGATGTATGCACACATTATCTTCATCTTAACTACATTATACCGATTATCACCATTTTGTCACTCCTCTTTCCTTTCTTCTCGTACTTTGTATTTCTTTTGACTGCATTCACTTATCTTCATCTTTCACCTCATTACCTTTCTACTTGGTGAACTGACGTGAGGTGTTGCAACTGGGACCGTTAGGCCGTAATGCCTGGTCTTATGTTGATAATGATTGATTGATATCTGCGTCAGTTAAACGTTAAATTCTGACTGCTCATACTTCGTTAACTTCTATCATCGTTGTGGAGCTATGGCTCGTTAAATTTTTTCTCCCAACCACTGAGTAACTGGTTCAACCCAAGTTTTATAGCTAAATTTTAGGCCATTACATAGTACTGAGAGCCCTTAAACAATACGGGAAGCTTACAACCCAGTATGTGGTCATGGAGCGGTAATATTTCCATAGGCTACCATGTTACTAGATACAACGCACGATTTTGGGAAGATAATGCGAGTGATTTCATCAACTGTCCATTTAAACGCAGTTTCCCTTTGAAGAGTTTGAAGTATGCCGATGAGATTTCCGACTTCAAGAAAACCAAATTATCCCTTACTTCTTACCTTCTCATACTCAATGATACATTAAATGGTTTCTAACTATGCCAAGCTGCACTAAAAAGGCCGTTAGGCCTAGTCTTATCGCTCTTCAAGCAAAAGAATTTAAGTGTCATGAAAGGTTTAGATAAAATAAAATGTGGAACCCGGAGAGTAAATAAGGCAACGGTTAATTGTCAGATGTATTACTAGGTTCCCCTGAAGACTCAGATAAAGTCAACCACCAACACCTTTACCCAATCATGTCTAAACATACATGGGTATCTATTAAAGAATCTGATATATCACTGCGTTTTACTTTCCTATGCAAATAACACCACATGAACTGGTCATGACATGACAACCAAATGTAGCTGTCAAGTTCTAACTGCTCAGCAGTGATAGGAATCCTGTGATTAAGTTTTTAATGTGGCCACTTAATAAAGTGATGCAACATGCGCTGCACCACATACTGGTTGGTGATGTTGGGATGCAATCGCAGGAAACCCTGGATCTACGTTTCTTGCTTCCTAACACTAATCAGTAAGACATATCTGTAATCCTAAAACCTGTTTCCTTAAAGGTTCATAAGCACATCAATATTTCGGAAAGAGATCTTAGACTATGGAGGTACAGTAATCCAAGTATATTCCATCGAAAAGTGGTGCGACCTGAAGCCGGTGACTTTCTCTTGAACCATCAGTCTGTACTGACGTGCAGCCATCAATGCTATCGAAAAGCCAAAAAGGCATCTCACAGTTATATCAATAAGTAAGACTGCTAAAGTGACCGACCCAGGATATATTTTATGAGTTTGATGCAAAAACTTGTCGATTCTCAGCTAGGATATCGATGTTAAGTCGAACCACTTGCGATATACGTACTCCTCGGGGCGACCTTTTATCGACCATATTTTGTTGTTAGGATGGTACCCAAAAGCTTCAATTTATTTCGTATGTGTTTCAATGGGTGGGGTCCATGAGTTATGAAGTCATTTAGTTGAATGGACATGAGCCAGCATCGACAACAATATGTAAACTCGTTTATTGTTATGGATTCCATCTGTGGACGCCTGTTGGTCCCGATTGATTGTGCAGGGTCATTTGATACATTGTTGACTTGAGGTCGCCACTTAACTTTCCTCGAAAAGTTAAATGAATATAAGCTATGAATACATATTTTCATCATTAACGGAAAACACCTCTAAATCACAAATGAACAGATTTAAACGAACTATGAATCTAGTACTTACTGTTAATTGCTTCAAAAATAAACAACGAAGGAGAATTATAATACACAGAGCTATACAATAACGCCTAAAATTGATCAAAACATCTGCTAGAATAAGTAGAATGTCGTAAGAAAGCATTTTTTGGAGTTAACTAATACCATATCTAGCAGTACCAGTACCTTGAAGCGCTACTTTGATATCAAGAAGAATTACGTAGGTATTTGCTCTAGGAATACACTAACTTGATATAAAAATGAATTTCAAGATCTAGTAACTAAAATACTAACCTGTTTTTTGGTGTAAAATGCACAGAAACACAGCTGCTCCCAAGAATACGTAATGGTAGAAACCCATAAACATCGTAACCGTAACAAACGTTGCTCCGCTTTGCATAAATATGCAGCGAATTCATTTTTCAGGGCAAAAATAGGTCAGAAATGTATCCTTCATGTTTATTCGCTCTCAGTAAAATTACCGAAGCTAATGATTGGTCGATAGGATAGTTTATTGATCCCGTTATACGATAACCAACCAAAGTAATAGCTAGTGAATGACCTTGGGCGTTGACACAGGGATAGGTTCCTTATTTGGACCAGATTACGTAGTCCAACTTAAAAATTTGATTGTCCTAACTGTAATAGTCGTTTTATCCACGTATCTTTTATTTCCACATTTGGGAGTTTTAGGTTATTGACCACGGAAAGACTGATTTACCGCTCTCTCAATGGAGAGACATATGAAAGGAAACAAGAAAAGAACCACAATCTATAGTGGTTTAAATTTCTTCCAACTAAACTTTTGAAGCCACTATTGAGTAGGAAATAAAGAAACGGCTAGTAAGCTATACTGTAACGGGAATCAAATTCTTTCGGCCACAGGTTATCTACCACTATTTTTGTGGGAGACAGTATAGTGTTAATTCAGTTGATAGTGTTAAATTGTGCTTCCTATCTTTTTCCGGAAAAGGGCGTGATTCGTTTCCCACTAACTGCTTCACTCACTACATATATTTCATATGTATGAAAAGTATCTCAGAATAAAATTACTTCATTTCCAATAAACGAATATTCATCACCTGCATGCAGCTTAAGACAATATACCTCAGTTAAGATAAACAATAATTTAGAGATCATTACACCGACAATTCTAGATCTAAAAAAATTCTAAATGAAAAATGATTCAAGTGAAGATAGTTGCCATGCAACTGCGAGAATGTATAAACAGATATATAATAAGAAAACATCAGACTAAATAAATGTGACCAACACTCATTTGCTAGAAAGTTTAAAATGTCCGTTTGCAGATACTTCAGTAAAGTGTAGTAAATTCGGCAATTTTTCAAATATTGTCTTGAAGGCTTCGGATATACCTTTTTGACGTTCAGTTGGCATCAATGTGTAGCTATTGCATTTGTAAAAACTTCGCTCCGTTTCAAATACAATTCCTTTCGACATGCCCATAATCTATTCATCCTTAAATTATCATTTACCTCTCCAAAGTTATGAAGTCCTAGTTCACTTGCAGCCGATGAGATTCGTGAAATGAAATAACGTCATTTTTACTCTGTAAATTCGTTTGTTCTTGAGTTATTCAACGCACACTTATTTTGCATTTCTCAGATCGATAATGTCTTTAAATGATGCAGTTATTATATTCATCTTAGTATTCGCAGTGGAATCCAGAATATGCATCTCGTCTTACTTGTTGCTCATCAGCTGCATGTGCCTGCAGCCCAGTGAGTGATGTTGTTTCCACTGAGACCTCGAACCCCGTACCCACCGCTTCAAATGCCAAAGCATTATCCACCAGGCCACGGGGATACAATAGACACCACTTTTGCAGTGGATATGATTTGTTGTTTGATACTTGCATCCAATTTCTGACCAGTGGTTTTACGCGCTCATGAAAACTGTATATAAATTATGCATTTTTGTCGAATAAAGTGTTTTCCTTACAGTCACAGGCCAGTCTTTGTCTTCTGATTTTAGCGGCTCAGTGAAGCATAAGTTTCTGAAGGAGAACAGTTGCTATTCGTCCACAGTCTAAGTGTCTCAATGCGTTAAGTGTCGTTCACGAATTTATTATTAACATTCACTAGGTCGCTTCACCATACTCCTCAAACTGAATAGGTTGCTGAACAGAAAAATTCATCTCTGGGTATTGTGACTGCTAAATCCTTCACTCCCATAGGAGAAATCCTAATTAAAATTCCATGTCATTACCTAATAAGTCGCGTATTAAAGTTGAAGATGATATAGCATGGTGTGCATAAAATGTATGCAGAATCCCTATACCAGAAAGAGCTTCCGAAAATAATACCACTAAGGCAATATTCCTGACCCAATAAAGGTATAAACCGCTCACTCTTTTTCCATAAGATGACGAAACTGAGGAAAACTGTTCCAAGTGTAATTCTGATCACATTCCTCACATTAATTGCCACTGGTACTCTGACATAATTTTTGAAATGACGCTAAAAGAATAGAAAATTGATGTTGTTTCATACACTGAGTGTAAAGCATATGTGACGGATGTGTCATTTACATCGACGTTTTGAAAGCGGTAAGTGGAAATTTTAATAAAGTGGAGAACCAAACAGATAAAAAATTAACACGATTTAATGTGTCATATATATTATATATATATATATATATATATATATATATGCTGATCTAGTATGAGTTCACCCAGTTTCTTTATGTCGACGAGTTCTACAATATGATCAATAAACTTGAGTCCCTGTTAACAACCTAATGAAAAGTATATGTACCTAGTTTAGCCAGCATCATAATAAGTGGTTTCTTGCAGCGCTCTCTCTATCTCTCCCCCCTATCTATCTCTCCGGTGTCAGCACAGATTTCCAATCTCACGAGGAATATAATTATCACAGATATACTAACTACTCCTAGCTGATATACGGCAGAAAACGAAAAACAATTAGTCTCAGAAATGCTTGTAATCACTTCACTAGAAGCTATATATATATATATATATATATATATATATATATATATATATATATATATATATATATATATATATATATATATATATATATATATATATATATATATATATATATATATATATATATATATAGTGATCAAGTCACTAAGATAAAGAAGCACAGAACAACCGATATACTCAAACCTCCCAACTGCTTCCGAAGACTAGCCACCAAGCGTTCCATAATCTTAACCATATGCCAGCTAACAAGAAAGTAAATCGAACAAATTTTCCACACATAGTAAAAATGAAGGTTACGAATGCAACAGTCAAGATGCTGAGCCAACAATTTACGGAATTCAATAACACTGGTGTGCTGTACTCTATACATGAATTAATAATTCCCATTTTGACATCAAAAACAAGACATTCATCGAAGAGGACTCTTTTCAATGAATTTATTCTCAAGCTGTACATTTATATATATAATATTTCAAGACTGCAATCCGTAAGGAAAATTAAACTTAAGTAATGGGAGATTGAGATAACAATAATAATGGTTATAACAATAATATTGCTGGTTGATGAGGTTAAGGTTGAGTGATAACAAAAAGGGGTTACGTGAGATTTTTAAAATTGTTTATAAGGTGCACATAGATTACAAAGGGGTGAAAACATGGTAGTTACCAACAATCAAAGGATTTGGTAATATGAATGAGGCAAATTAAGCGGAATAAATTAAATACGTTTCTGGATATCATTCATTATGGATTGACATCAGTTCGAGAACCATTGCGAACCCGGGAGCACTGGACAGACATTTCGCCCTAGTATGGGACTCCTCAGCAGTACGCACACACGACCCACCTAGGGATCTCTACGTTTCACGGCGAACGCGTTAAACTATTCAGTTGAAAAATGAGTGACACACTTTACAGTTAGACGGCTGTTACTTCGTCATGAAGTACTTGAGATAATAGCAATCTAAAAAAGAAGATGGAGTTAAGTATAACAATGAAAGCTTTGTGCATTATGAAATGAATTATTGTATTATAATGACAAGTTTATTAAAAGTTCCATCTGTTGGTGTGTTCATGAGCATTAATTTTGCTCGAAATATTACCAAAATAAAAATTTATCATCGTGTGTAAAGTTGTCATTACAAATTTATATTGAAAAGGAGTTAGTTCATCAGTTATCTGAACGAATCAAACACATCTAATTGTATGTTCTTGTAACAACAAATATAGTTCGTTTATGACAGATTAGAAAATCAACGTGGAATCTCGCTCAGAAGTGTCACGGATTAATTTGCCACACCACAACAGCTTACAAGACAAGTGAACAGAAAAAGCAATGTTGAGACAAAAATATATATATGAGGCGACGGAATAAATAAATATGGGTTAGTAAGATCTTCAAGACTTTGACGAGCTTCAACCATGTTACCAATAATCTCCAAACATCTACTTACTTTATCTGGAGGCAGTCTACACACCACTTTTAGTATTGCACGGTAGCTTGGGATACACAACACGTAGTCATGTAACGTCAAAACCTCATCGACTGACTCGCCTACACTCCTTTACTTCAACACTCCTCATATGGTGATTTCATTGTGGGTGAGCAATGATGCTAGGACAACTATGGGCAAAGACCTGTAGTCTCTTGATATCTTTCAACGGTTGTCTCAGTCGCATCAAGAAAACTAAGGTGGATTGCTGCACAGTAAACTCAATTTTTAATGGAAATTCGCATATCTCGCTGGTACCAGAGATGACGCAAGTTGGCAAACGCGAATGCGTACTTTATATCCAAGCTGAAAATTTACCAGCAACCAACCCATTCAAACTGATGCCACTTCCCAAGGTGATGTAGTCAAGGTATCTTATTACTTCGCTCCCTTTACTTAAACTGCGAAGCAGTACGGACCAACCCTGAAGCATCATCTCACATCCGAAAGGTGCGGAAAGCATCCCAAACATCGTCGGATTTTTTGTCAAAGCGTTCAGAGGACGCTGCGTTCCGATAGCGTCTTCGCCTCCTTAGACAAAATCACCTGCAGACTCGAAGCTAAACATCTGCTTTCCTGGTATCAAGTCAGTACATCCTTTTTCGGAACTGCTTAGGTGAACGGTATGCCTGGAAGTATTATACTATACTATAATATCACGACGGCTTCGCATATTCACTATTTGATAAAAAAATACCACTCCGTTTCTGCCCTTGCACCAAACTCATGTACTTACTAATGACAAAAGAAACACCGCAACCGTTATTCAAAAATTTTTCTTCCAATATTAAATACGCCTACCACGATTAAATCATGAGTCCTAAATATGTTCGCCTGATCATTTACACCAAAGCACGAAGAAGAGAATTCACACAATAAACTTAGCTCACATTTATTTCACGACTTCTCCACAGCTGTAAAGTCTGAAATAAATAAATAATTAGCATGAGATAAAGTGTGAAACATACTTTTGAGTCGGAACAAAGTAACTACTTACGTTGTGAAACACATATACAATAGGCAAATCTCAGTTAACAAATAT